GTTTACTACTGCACATTCCTGGATTTTTATGTGGCCAGACCTTCCAAACCCCATTTAATATACGATATGGCAAAGTAAAAGATGTGCCAGCAGTGCATTAATTCTTTGCGGCATAAATTGCTGGAAACGTTCCTTTGATTTTGTCCATAGTGACATGATGGCATCACACAGCTGCAGGTGTTTCATTTGCACATGTATGATGTGAATCTCCTGTTCCATCACATCCCAAAGGTACTGTACTGGACTGATTACTGCAAATGACATTTGAGTACTTATTGTCATGCTCAAGAAACGAGTTTGAGGGGATTTGACCTTTTTCACATGGCACATTAGCTCGTTAGAAGCACATTTTAGAACATAGTCAGCAACAATACTCAGTGTGGTGTTTAAAAGACGTTCACATAGTATGACGGATCCAAAGTGTGCCAAAAAAAAAAAAAATGTCCCCCACATCTTTATAGCACCAATTGTTTACACTAAATTCAACAATCTTCTGTTGTCCTGTTTAGTTTTGGTGAACCTCATTTTCGTGTTCTTGGTTGTCAATAGTGGTCCTCTGTGTGGTCTTCTGATCTTCTGCTTCTAGGTTCAACGTGTTATGCAGTCATAGGTCCCATCTGGCACTAACAGTTATGCTTCAGAGTCACTTAAATCTCCTTTATTCCACATTCTGATGCTCGGTTTGAACTTCATCAGGCCGTCTTGTCCATGTCTACATGCCTAAATGTACTGAGTTGATGCTGTGTGTTTGGCTGATTAGATATTTGTGTTAACTACCAGTTGAATGGGGGTAATACTGAAGTGGCTGGTGAGTGTAGATTTAAACTTAACAATTATGTGATGTTTTTATTTTAAAAAGTAATATTATTTGTTTTAGAAATACTTAAAATTATTAAATTGGATTAAAAACACTATTTCTATGCAGTGATGTTTCATTTAAAAAATGTAAGTAATTAAAGCAAAAATTAAGGGTCCATTCTCAGTGTGCTTGCAGTAAAGCCATCAAGTTTCTACATCACATCTGTAAACCTTCTGAACTGCTTGTGAGGTTTCAAATCCTGCAAACCTTGATCTCAATTGTCAGGTGCCTACTTTCAACTGTCCAACTAAAGCACAGTTTGTTTATTGATATATCCTTATACTGTTTTTCTTTTTTAGAATACTTGTTTGACTTGTCTGTGAAGCCCAGAACTTCAAACTGGCTGAAATGGATGAGCAAAGTGTTGAGGTCAGTCTCACTGTTAGACTGCTATGATGTATTACATTATATATTGTATTGTATAGTGTATTACTTACCAAATTCATGTTATGTGCATAGTTTAATCTTCATAATCTGTGGTGTTGATTTCTGTGGCTGTAGTTGGTTTAAAACGTTCTTCTGTCCCTGTGCAGAGCATTGCTGAGGTGTTTCGATGCTTCATTTGCATGGAGAAACTGAGGGATGCTCGCCTCTGTCCACATTGCTCCAAACTCTGCTGCTTCAGCTGTATACGAGTGAGTCTGTTAGACATAGCAGCGATCAGAAAATGTTCTCCTCACTCCACAACTCTGCATTCAGTTTTTACAAGTAAATTATCTAATCAATTTTGCGACGTGACCAAAATTACTGCGACTATGTGCAATGAACGTACAGTCTTGTTGCTTTTCTAATAGTTGTTTCAAAGACAAGGGCCACAAAACAACATACGTACTTGACAACCTTAGTTTTATAGAGGAATATAAACCAAATGCAGCCAGTTGCCAACAATTTTTGTGGAGTCCCCTGTTGCAGAAACACATGTTGCAGATGCTTATTAGCTCAGACTGACTCAGATTGTTTGCAGCATGTTGCTAGTCCGTTTTTATAGACAGCAGATTTTGCAAAACTTTGCCAACCTGTCTGTGAGTGATCATAGAATCAGACTTAAACCACAATTATTTGAGAGGTTTCCTCCAAGCAGCCAAACTGTGCAGCCACCTTGTGATTAAAAGTGGTCACCTACTGGTTGAGGGTGTTTCACGCTCAGCCTCTCGGCAACCAACTGGTTTCATGCAACTACTTGAAATCAATCACTGAATGTGGGGAATAAATGAATAAAATAATGGAAGTCACCAGGTATTAGGCTGTTTGTTTTTTTTGTTTGTTTGTTTTCCTTTTCCAACTTGAAATGAGGTTGATGTCCTATTTTAATCTAATGTGATTGAGCCATTAATGATAAAGCGGTGAGACAGATACGTCTGTTAAACCACACAGTTGGGATTTATGTAGAGCTTTTCCATTCTTACTATCCAAACCCTTAAAGAATACACAAAGCACTTTTTAAAAAATAATAAACTACACACTGTACAGCACACCTGTGTATCTTTCAGCCCACCGTTGTGTGTGTAAGATCTTCGTGTTTTTTATATATGTTATTTTTATCTTTGTAAAATTTGATGGTGACTGGTTTTGGGATTGGTCACGTGCTGCCACCACTACTTCTTTCATGTTTTATAGCTACATTGATAAATACTGAGATGACTTATCAAGTCAATAACCACCTCTTTATTAGTTCTTAAACTGATAGTTGTTACTGTTCCCTTTCAATAATATTTGGTCAACAGTGCAGCAGTGTGATGCCGATGATTCACATGAGTCAGTCTTTGCTTATCCTCACACTCAGTAGGATCAGTTTGTGTAGTTTAGTTTTTCTTGGTCTTTATAAGAAATGTACAAATAAGAAAAAAATATAAAATGATTCCAGCTCTGTCCTGAATCATGAATCTTTGGCAGACTGTTTGTGCTGCTTGTATTTAAGCTGAAATCTCTCCTGTGTAACAGCGATGGCTGACGGAGCAGAGGGCACAGTGTCCACACTGTCGGTAAGCACCTGCTAACACACATCTGCTTCATATAACTAATCACATTTGGTGGAATATTTCATGGTCCATATGAATTTTGTTTGAACTCATAAGGTACCTGGTAAGACCAGAGTAATGACTAAAAACAGTGTGTAAGAGTTATACAACTCACAATGTAACAGCGTGGAATACATATGAATTCAATGTGAGTTCATTCAGCAAGACATAAAGCATATTATGTCTTTAGTATATCCTATGGGCAAGGAGAACACCAATAAAACTGATGAAACGTAGCGCAACAGACAAAAAGCCTCAAGATAACTTTCTGATCTGCTTCATAATGTTAGAATAGATATGCAGTTATTAAAATATGTGTGTGCATTCTTCTGTGCAGGGCTCCACTTCAGCTGAGGGAGCTTGTCAACTGTCGCTGGGCGGAGGAGGTCACCCAGCAGCTGGACACCCTGCAGCTTTGCAGCCTCACCAAGCACGAGGACAATGATAAAGACAAGTGAGTTCTTGACAAGTGTCTTTCAGTCCCAGTCCTGTTTTCTGAGTTGAAAGTGTTCTTGTCATTTTTATATCCCTGTCTTCCTTAAATTTCTCTTCATAAATCAAATCTTAATCCCAGAACTATGAAAAGTTATTTTAAGAAGTTTTGTTCATTCTGTGTCACCATTGTTTTATATTTGTCAGGGTTTTGGTTTTTGTTTTTGGTTGGGGTTACTTATAAATGCCCTGTGGTGCTCAACTCAGAGAATAACAATAATATTTGGTGCAGTTGTGGGAAACAAACAGTGGTTGTCTTGTTGCTCTGCAGATGTGAGAACCATCACGAGAAGCTGAGTGTTTTCTGTTGGACCTGTAAGAAATGCATCTGTCACCAGTGTGCCCTGTGGGGAGGCATGGTAATGTTTCACTTAGTTTGCAAAGTCAGAAACGCTCTCATTAATGAGTTTTCTGTTATGTAAAAGTCAGATGGCGTCCGGTAAATTTTGCTGTTTTGGTTGCTTCCAGCACGGCGGCCACACCTTTAAGCCCCTTGTGGAGATTTATGAGCAGCATGTGACCAAGGTGAAGGAGGAGGTTGCCAAGCTGCGCCGCCGCCTCATGGAGCTCATCAGTCTGGTGCAGGAAGTGGTGAGGACTGCTTTTTCTCTTATGAACAACAAATGCTCAATAGTTTGATATTTACTGTCCTGTCAGATGAAACTCCTGTTTCGTGCACTCGTCACTCTTCACCTTCACCTCTTCAGTAAATCTTTTTAACTGCAGATTCATATCATAGTACATATTTGAACTCTTCTTGACATTCATGGGACTTGAGGGATGTTCTCTCCCTCAACTATGAAGAATTATTAATGGGTTGGCGAGTTATCTTGAGGCAAACTCAGTTTTCAGTATTACAAAGGTACCCTTTCTTAGCTGTCTAGATTACCACGGTGACTTATGCTGCTTTAAGTAGAGTTTAGATTCTCTGCTGAAGGAATAGGTTTTATGTATTGCTGTATCTTACATGCCACTGTTATGATAAGCAAATGTGTTACACTGTCTGCCACAAGAATTTATACACATTCATTTTTTGATGCAGAAAATGCATAAATGTTTTTATTTTCTGACATTAATATAAAAAATAACTAGCATTTTTGTTTTGCACAAAGAAATAAAATCAGCTCCATAATCCATAATCCCAATTAATGACCCACTTGTAGAGGAAAGCTTAAGTCAAAGAGCCTGTGGAAATTGTTTTAACTTAGGACCTCTGAGGCCCACTTTAAAGTTTCAGGTTATTAACATCAACTGGGTACAGCATGAAATGTTCCAACAAAGCACTTTGCAGTGTTTCTTGGTCATTATTTGTGTGATTACACTGCTACATTATTGTAGTTCGGTGGTGGGATTCAGGAGCACCTGAGGGTCACTCTGGCCTTCTCAATTTGAGCAGTGACATTAAAGCAAACAGCAGTGAACTCGGGGAACTGTTATCATGATACTTCTGAAAGATGATAGATGAGTTGTATGAAGACTGCCCGTCTCTCTATCTCTCTTATGAAAGCATCCATTCTCTACCTGCTTCTTCACACGTATCATGTCACCTGACATGATGGACAGAGTGAGAGGAAAGGTGAAACAAAGAATAGATAATAATAATAATAAAATATAATACAATCAATTAAAATGCCCATAAATGCTGAAATAAGTGCAAGTCAGTTACAAGGAAAAAACACTGTCTGTTTGCATCATAGCTTGTGTTCAGTTTCAGTGTCTGTGGAGTCTGCTTTTGCTTTTTGTTTGAATATAATACGTCCTGGGAGAGGATGAGCTCACTCTCCTGTTTAAAAGGCTAAATGCTTTCTGTGATGGTGCCTGACTTTGTTGGTTTGTGTGTCTACTGAATGATGTATCCTAAGAGTTTTAAGGATGCTTCTATAGCCTCGGGATACCTTCATGTTCGTCTGTTAGACCAAAATCTTTGGGCTGCATTAATCTGAATTCCATATCCCATATTATCATAGTAGGCAAATTTTAGCTCTAGGTATATTGTGATTATACTGACATTCGAAAATGAAATATCATCTTGATAAATCATATAAGTGGAATTATTCTGTTACCCCCAATTTCCTATGCTTCACATCCAATGATAGATGTGACATTGTGATATAGCGTCCACAACAGTCCTAATCAACACACATGGTTAGACTTCAAAATGATATCAAATCCACAGCCTACATTAATTAATTCCAAACCTAGACAGATTTATTTAAAAAAATCTTTTGGAGTTTAGTCAGTATGGGTGTGCTGTATTGCTGACATCCAGCAGATGGCACTGTTGTTTTAATAAAAGCTTGTCCGTGAAGTTGACACAGTGAACGGATATTTAACACAGTGTGTGTGTGTGTGTGTGTGTGTGTGTTTGTGTGTTTGTGTGTTTTGTTTGATGGTTCAGGAGAGGAACGTTGAGGCAGTTAGGGGTGCAAAAGACGAGAGGGTCCGAGAGATACGTAACGCCGTGGAAATGATGATCGCTCGTCTGGATAACCAGCTCAAGAATAAGCTCATCACCCTCATGGGTAGGACTCACACTGTGCACACACTCACTGTCAAAAGCAGATGTCCAGATAAATGTTTTTTTCTCTTTTAGCTTTTTATATACATTTTAACCTTCAATTTAATTAATTACACATAATTTCAGCGCGTTGCTTTTATCTGAAAAAGAGCTGACCTCAAATCTTATTTTAAAAACATTTTTGACCACTTTCAAGCTCATTATTTCCATGTCTGAACACCTTGCCTACTTTTATGTAAAAATACTGAAAGAACTCTGGTAAGCTGAATTGAATGACTGGCTTTTAGGCTGCAGGAGAGGACACATTATTCTCATTTTCATCTGCACATTTTTGACTTCACCAGAGTAGCTTTGCACGATTAACTGTTCAAAAAAATGTCCTGCAGCCCATTAGACGGTTCAAACTCTGTTTAGAACAAGGTCAAACAATTGTCTTCCGATTGGCTGAAAAGCAGGCGGGTGGGGTTTGGGCACTCACAGACAGAACTGCGTGTCTGAGATGACCAGATTTCGGCTATCATACAGAGCCAGGAGTATTTTTAAAAAATGAATGTTTTGCTGATGGGGTGACAAAATCTTTTTACCATTAAATATAATTAAACATGAATTGAGGAGCATTCAGCAGTATTTTGCAAAAAATAAGAGATGAAACTGCTGAAAAAACATATTTAGAGTTACCTGAAGAGAATGGTGTGTTAGGGTCACCCTTACTAACTGTAGTCATTAATTAATATTCAGTAGTTAAAAAAAATTAATCCCAGTTCTGTCGCCACCTGGTTATGCATTCCCAATAGAATAAGCATCATTTTAACAGGTTAAAGACGTATGGTAGTGTTTAGTTTTCTTGTTGTTGCAAGACTGGCTTTAAATGTGTCTAAAGGTCGAGACCTTCACCCAACAAAACACGCAGACTCCCCACTGAAAGCAGTGAGAGGCGCCCTTTATAGCTGCGGGTAATATACATATGAAATATTTATCTGGACTGAGTGGATCCATGCACTCGGCGCCCACATACACAACCTGCACTCCCACACACTCTCACTCAGCAGCTTCCATCAGGGCTGACATTCAGCACAAGAGTACTGAAAATAGAACTGCGTTCCTCCCCATCAGGCCAGAAGACGTCCTTGACCCAGGAGACGGAGCTGCTGGAGTCTTTGCTGCAGGAGGTGGAGCATCAGGTTGGTCGTCTGCAGCAGATCAAAGCCTCCATTCATTTTTTTTCTACTGCGTATTGTTAGTTGTGTAATATTAAAGCTGAGAAACCCCACACACAATACAGCAATACATGCTGTCTCATTGATTCAACACTATTACAGTCTTTAAGGTCAAGGTATATTTTAAATCCTCTCTTATAGCAAGTGTCTGGTGCAGTATTTTAAAAGTTTCAACTGTGCTGTTAACTGTTTTTAAAAAGGAAACGACTAATTTGAGGTGTATCCAAACAATACATCTGCAAGTTATAAAACCAAAAGTATGATGTAATGGCTGCAGAGCTGGTGAGAATTCACTGTAAGTGCTTTATTTTACACTGTGGGAACTTCTTTTATTCATTATTGAGTAGCAGAGCATGTTGCACGACAAATCGGGCGAGCAGGCATGTTGTATTTGCACGATTGTTTCTTACAATGTGATGAATCATGAGCTTTTCTGCACTAAGAGTAGCAGCCAGAAAATACTACAGCACTTTAAATACAGAAATACTGGCAGCGTTGAGGGATGGGTCATCTCATTTACCATCTCGAAGTTATTTTGTAAAATAACTCCAAAAAAGTTGCACTTTATTATTTTTTCATAGATATTCATAGCATAAATGGAACATTTTACTAAATTTATTACAATTTATTTTTACAAAAGAATCAGATTTTGAGGGGGTCAGGTGGGAGACTGTTTTTTGTTTTTGTTTTAAGGAATGAACTTTTATATTCTGACTTTGCCTCTTTTGTTACTGAATTAAGTAAAATATTTCGTTGAATTTCAGTTAACTGTTTATTTTTTCTGAGCAAAAATCAACACATCATCGATTGTTCAGCTGCTTGCTGGCAGTAACGAGATGATTTTCCTGAATTGTGTGTGTGCTGAACAGCTTCACTCCTGCAGTAAGAGCGAACTGATCTCAAAGAGCCCAGAGATCCTCCTCATGTTCCAGCAGGTCCACCGGAAACCCATGCAGTCCTTCGTCACCACGCCCGTCCCTCCAGACTTCACCAGGTAATATCCTCAGCTGCAACACCAGACGCTTTTCACGGTCCAGGGAGGATGCAACGAAATGCCTTAGCTACTAGGGATAACAAAAATTATCATCAATAATAAATGTTATGTGGCAGGAGATTCCCATTTGTTTTTTTTTGTTTTTTTTTAATCAATCGATTAAATTTTATGGCTCATAATACTAAAGGAAATAACCTGACAGTGACTGTAAACCACAGGTTATTTATTGTGCTTTTATGTGCAGTCATCTTTCCTCTTTGTGCTTTCAGTGAGCTGGTTCCTGCCTATGACTCCAGCACTTTTGTTCTAGTCAACTTCAGGTAAATCATCTCTGAGGCTGCATTTGGTCATAGAGAAGACAAACAAGGAACTCTCACTCTGACATACTGTCAGCTTCTTCCTATCTTCAAACAACATCCTTAAATTTTGTTGAGGATTTTATAAACTATGGAAAAATGTAAGGTGCTTTTTAAAAATTTATTTAGCCTTTATTTAACTAAGTTCCTTGAGATTAAAATCTCTTTACACACTATTACAATGTTACAAGTTAAACTCAAATATAAATGCAAAATAAAATGAGTCAGAGTAAAAATAATAACCAGTTAAAAGCTTCAAATGGGAAATCTATCAAAACATCCTGATGGGGTTTCAGCTCGTTTGATATATGTGTTTGTTTGTAGCACCCTGAGGCAGCGGGCTGACCCAGTCTACAGCCCTCCCCTGCAGATCTCTGGCCTCTGCTGGAGACTCAAAGTCTACCCAGTGAGTTTAAAACGGCTGATGTATGCCTTTTAAAGCCTGGCTGCAGTTCTAGCTGACATCGATTGGTTATTGTGACTGTAGTAATTTAGACAGAAATCACGTTGTCTTTGCTAAAGCAGCACATGTCTCTGTGTTTCTGCAGGACGGTAACGGTGTGGTTCGTGGAAACTATCTGTCTGTGTTCCTCGAACTGTCTGCAGGACTTCCCGAAACATCAAAGTATGTAATATTTTGTTGTACCTTGACTGCTCTTTCAATAAATTCCTCCTCTGCTCTGTTTTCTTTCTGTGACAATTTTTTATTTTTTTTATTACAGTCAAGCCTCGGGCTAAATTGACTTGTGTAAAAGATTTATTTTCAAGTCCAATTTGAATAATTTACAGTTAACATGCAGGAAGACACATAGATTAAAAATGTTCAGTTATAATGTAGCCAGTGTTTTTCATAAAACCGTCAAGGTTGTTTTAAAATTAAATGAAAATCTGGTCCTAATAGATGCACAGTATAACAAAAACCATTACATTACATGATATAGGATATTTGAAAAATGAGTTTGGCATCAGTGAGGAGATAATACTTTTTCTTTCATGTTTTAAAGACGTGTTACCGCTTCAACCAGGGGAGGTACAGGGGAACCCCTGGATGAATATTTAACGAGAAAACTGCATCAAATTTTGTCATTTTAGACGATTTATACCAAAATCATGTGATCCTACTTGGACTCAATAATACTTGTGGCTTGAAAAACTAATCACTTCTAGTTTGTTGTGTTAAATATCCGTTCACTGTCTTTTAGTTCTTTAAAGAAATACATCCTCAAAAGTCCTGGATGAGTTCTGCTTTTGCTGCATTTCCTGTGTGTTGATATTCTCTTTGATATGTGTAGATATGAGTACCGTGTGGAGATGGTCCATCAGGCCTCCAGTGACCCCACAAAGAACATAATTCGGGAGTTTGCCTCTGACTTTGAGGTCGGTGAATGCTGGGGCTACAACCGCTTCTTCAGGCTTGATCTTCTAGCCAGTGAGGGATACCTGAACATGCAGACAGACACACTGGTCCTCCGGTGAGAACACGCACGCCCAATTCTAATCATGTAGAATCAGGTTGAGTTGGAGATCTTTTATCCCAGTGTGACTGAGTATCATTGGTTTTCTTTGCTCAGCTATCAGGTTCGCTCACCTACCTTTTTCCAGAAGTGCCGAGATCAGTACTGGTACATCAGCCAGCTGGAGTCGGCCCAGAGTGGCTACATCCAGCAGATCAACAATCTCAAAGAGGTACTCTGTCTGTTCGTGTTTGTGTTCTGTATTTATAGGCATGTTTTGTTTTGTTTTGTTTTTTTACTGTTTGTTGAATTTAGGATTCACTGACTCTCGTCAGCCATTGTTTTAGAGTAAACAGATTCCAAAGTTTTCAAAGATGCCAAATGAGTCACTGACTCATCTAGTTGGAGTTGCTTCCATAATTAAGTGTCTGTTTATTTTGAGCTAAATAATATTCCCCGAATCTCTGTATTTCTGATTCCAGAGGCTCGCTATCGAGCTATTTCGCCGTCAGACCTCACGCAGCTCCTCGCCTCCTGACCTGAGGCTTGCTGCGGGCACCACGACCTCTGAAAGAGACCCTCGCTCGGTGAAGAGTGACGATGAGATTCAGACCACTTTGAGCAACACTAAGAAAGGAGAAGAAGAGGAGAGGACGCAACACGATGACTCTAATGTGAGGATGGAAAATACTGCTTGATTTGAAAAAACAGCTGATTGCTTCTTAATGTTTTCTTATTCGAGAGGGTGTCTGTGCATAGCTGAGCTTATACAGGTTTTCTTAGGTGATGGGCATCATGGTTTCACTGGAGGTGTTATGACTATGTCAAAAACTACTAATTATTTAGTATTATTTAGATATTTTATTTATTAAGCTATTAATTTATTGATGTTAAAATTTTCTTTTTATGGGGCATTTCATTGAATTTTAATTAAAAATCAAATAAATAAGAGCTGGAGGTTTTGGGATCCAGCGTCTTCCTGCACGGGATACAGCTCATTAATTGCCTGGCTCCTCTGTTGTCCAGGAGCTGTCAGACGGTGACCTGGAGGTGGACTGTCTGACAGAAGAGGAGGTGAACCCTCTGGATGGCAGCAGCACTTCAGGGAGCTCCACAGCCACCAGCAACACTGAGGAGAATGACATAGACGAGGAGACAATGTGAGCAGAAATGGCTTTATTGTGAAACTTTCTACAAAAAATGTGCTTGGTGGTAATTTGATAATGAAGGCTTTGGTTTCTTTGTTAAGCCGAAGAAATGGATACTAACAGAAATATTTTCACAGGTCCGGGGAGAATGATGTCGACTTCATCGGCAACCTGGACACAGAAGAAGGAGAGCTTCCTGATGACTTGGCTGGAGCCACGGGTATAATTTAAAACATTCATAAAACTGTTTGATTTGAGTTTCCCACAGCTGACATGTTTTTGTGTTGTTTTTGTTTTTTAACACACAGCAGTGTTAAAAATGTCAGCTTTATCGTTATGTTCTTGAAGGATTATTTAACCTATGCAAACAGAAACAAACTTAGAACTGTGATTTGTGAACACATTTTTTATGCTGCTGAACAACAAAGAACTGTTTATTTTTTTTACCCCTGCAAATTGTGTCCTAATATAAGCTTTCATTAATATGTTCTTAAGTATAAATCAGCAGGAGGAGAAATCAATAATGAATGGCTATAAAGCAGAACACAATTAAAGTAATATTAAATATGTACATTACTCAAGGTGTAATGTTGTACATTTACAGCAGATGTTCTAAATAAGGACATTTTCACACATTAAAGTTGATTATAAACCTCTATTTCTTACTTAGAAATATCAAATGGAAGCTCTTAAATCAAAATACAAGTGCAATTTACCCAGTCTCAATTTATAGTACATGAAAGCATGATTTTAAAAAAGGAAGAAAAAAAAAAGATTTCTAATTGCTTAAGTTCTTCTTAGAGGGCTGTAACTTGTGGTTAATAGTATAAATGAATATATTTCAGTTATTTAAATAAAATATGGTGTTTGTTCTCATTGTAACTTAGTAGGGCAGTTAAACCGTTAAATCTGATTATTTTCATGACAAAATGTTCATCTAAAAGTTGCTACAAAAGCCCAGTGGGTTTACTGAACAATTCGCTCCATTTACGGAGTGTAACCATGAAATATTTATTGTCCTTTCTCAAATAAAGGCCCCGTTGTCTCCTCAGTTGAGGCAAATAAAAGCCAGCCTCTGTTTGAGAATTTTAGGAATCTATTTGTGTTGTTTGACAACTGGAGAGGCAGATCACAGCGATATGATGGTGGACCTCAAAGCGGCTCCTTCAGGCGTGTTTGACTGTGTTGGTGTTGAAAGGCATGAAGAGGATGAGTCAGTGTTGGTGCACCATGCCCCTCGCAGCCTGCCGATATAGAAGCACTTGGTGTCCGTGTGTGTACATGTGTGGGGAGGGGGTGTTAGATGTCAGAGTTGAACATATCTTTGCTGCATATTGTTTACATCCCACATTGGAGTAATTTTTATTTTTTTATGATTAGGTTACAATTCAGCGAGAGACTCCAGCCTGTTTTGTAACTCTGTTTTTGATGCAGGTTTCTTTGTCTGGAAAACCTTTAGAGAATTTTCTCTCCCAGCTGCTGGAACCCGGCCAGTCAGAGACTCATGTGGACTGTACAGATAATAACATGACTCACTGCTGCTTAAAACCAGATCAGTGTTTCTGTTGAGCTTCACTTAAACTTGAATCCCAGATTCAGTAGGTCTAAAGATTTAAAAAAAAAAAAAAAAAAAAAATCCTCAGACTTTTTGTTGGCAAATTATTGTGTCCTTAAGTTTTTAACCATATTAAAAACTTAAGGACACAATATATCCTATAGATTTTTATTTTTGAATCAAGTTTTTATTTCAGTTAACTGAAAGGTTTTTCACAATAACTTTTAGTTTAGTTTTAGTTACCTATAGTAACAATGAACAGCACCAGATCTCCAACATAAAGAAACAGCTCAAATAACACATAAACATGAATATTTGGAAGGAGAAATGGAGCAATAATCTCTTAAATAACCCTTATTCCTCTTTTAATTTAAGCACAGCCACACATGAACCATATGAACCCTGTTTTTGTGTCTGATCTGCAGGCGGTTCCAACTCCAGTGTGCGATCATTACACCGTAGTGCTGCAGCTGCTGCCGGTCGTAGTACTAGTGGCAGTGGAGCTGCCGCTGCTGCTGCTGCCGCCGGTGCTGTTGGGCCAGGTGGTAACAGCCTCCTGGAGATCGACCCGGTTATCCTGATCCAGCTGCTGGATCTGAAGGAGCGCAGCAGCGTGGAATCCCTGTGGGGTCTTCAGCCTCGGCCTCCGGTGTCTCTCCTCCACAGCCAAGGTCTGCAGGCACGCTAACAACATATCAGTCCCACTAAACTGGGGAGTCATTACTCAAGCTCTGACACATGGGTTCCTCAAAATAAAAAACACTTTGTAAGGTCACAGGTTAGCATGTAAACAGCACTGGTTTCAACATATTTAAGCATAGAAAACACATGTAGGATTCTGGTGGATTTGAACTTGCTTTTGATATGAATTGGTTTTGCTGCTTTCTATGGACAAGAATTTACATCTAAAATACATTAGACCAAACATAATTTTTCATTTTCAGGGTGGAAAATTAAACTCACAGGAATGAGGAAGAAGGGTGCAGTGAACGCCAAGAATTTTGTGAAAAGAACAAAGAAAAAGACCAAAATCAGTTTGCTTGGGACTAATATTGTCATAGCACCTCTGCTAGGAGAAACATTGGAGCTAATTTGTTGTGGATTTTTTTTTTTTTAAATTGCAGACATCTCAAATTCACACAGGATTAAGATCACAGACAACCTCCGCAATTCTTACAAAAGACTCCCAGGGTAATATTAACTAATGTGAACATACTGTAAGGCTTTTGAATAACAACAAATGTAAGTGAAATTCTTTTGTTTATATGAAAATTTAAGCGGCACGTTCAGCACTGTAAAATGAGCATCTAACCAATCACACTTAAGCAAAAATTCACCTGATTAAAAAATAATGGAGTTCAGAATTGTCTGGAGTCGTATCAGCACCTGTTTTAAATGGCTACAAATGGTCAAAACCATTACCACCAGCATCCTTTTGTAACCACTTTCTCTTGACCTGATCGATTAAAAGCATTGAAGAAAGGTGGAAAGAGAAAAACAGTTTTTAGGGCAACAAACTACCCTCTCACCTTGTAACAGTCGATGTTACTAAGTCTGAAACGACAGTGATCTGAAGGACTACAAAAATCTCATCTTATGTACTTTTACAGGTCGTTAAAAAAACAATATAAAGTAAAATAAGATGTTTGCCACATTGAGACCTTTAGTTCAGCAGTTTATTGCGTGAAATAGGAAACAGACTGTTAATTAACATTTATGTGACCTGCACCACTTTTTGTGAATTATAGGACGCTATCCTCTGCTAAAGGAGGTAATAAAGGAAGCATTGAAGTGTTTTCCTGAGTATCTGGAGAATTTAAACCGGACTTGGCATAACTGCCATGCAGTTTGTGAAAAGATTTTAGGTACATTTGATGTTTAGATTTTTCTCTGTACCAACAGGGAAGCTTCTGATTGGTCCCCAAACCACCATGCAGCTTGAGACCATAGCCCCAAACATAGTTTTAAGCTGTATATTTGGAGCTTCACCTTATCTGCTTCTCCAACTTGTTTTTTGTGTCTTCAGCTCATCCTCACTCGAGGAAGGAACGAGAGCGGCGTCCGCAGGTGGTGCGACGATCAGCTCCTGACTCGGGGGTCCTCATCCGCCTCAAGGCTCAGATGGCTGAGGTCCGCAGCAAGATGGCCGATGTCAAGAGTCAAGTGCTGGAGGTGCGAGGGTCAGCGGAGCCCAGGCCTGGCCCATCTGGGGCCTTCGGCACTGAAGAGCTCCCGTCTCATCACGGCGATTCAGAGATGGCAGCTTGTCATAAACCCAGCGAGCTTGACCTGGTGGGGAGAGCAGCTGCGACTCGAGCCAGACCCTGCCGCCCCGGTGAGGACTGCTGTTGCAGGCTGTTCAGTGTTAATGTGTAAACAGTGACAGTTTCAACCAAACAGGGAATCAGAATTATCTGGTTACCCGCTCTACAGTTGGTCCGTTTGATTATCTCAATCTTTGTTTGGGGAAATGAATTTATTGAATTCTTTTTGAAAATAAAAACTCTAGACTGTAGAAATGAAGAGCTGTGTGAAAACTATGCTGCTTCTTTTTGCACGGCATATTATTCTGGTGGACAAAGTACACAGCAAATGTGCAAACCGGAATAGAGAGGACAATCAGTGTGGGTTGCCACACTGTCAGTTGTCAAGGGTACTCATATGTAGGGCTGTCCCGAATACTTTTTTTTTTTTTTTTTTTAAATTTTGGGGGGGTGCTTTGCAAAAGCAAATGAACATAACAGAGAGAGAGCATTGTATCTGTGCTGGGAGATCACAGAAAATCTACATGATGACCTACAGATATTTTCTTTCTTTAGCTTTTGAACAGTAAATCTATTGAATAGGTATAGCTGTTCATCACTGTAAAAATCCACCACGTTGCCCTGCAATCTTGAAAACAGTGACCAAGTTGGACATTGCTGTTCTACCTAATCAGGTTTTATGTATCTTTTTAGAAAGCGGCCACATGCGAAGTAGTATGAATTGGCTAAACAACAACAGCAGTTGGTTATAAGCTAATGTTTTCCAAGTTATACTCGAGTGTCACAAAAATCGCACTCGCCTGCAGAGTAAATAGATTAATGCACTACAGATGGCCAGCATTTTTAAGCGGACTTGGTCAGAAACATAAAATACTGCAGAATATTAAATTGACACATATCGTTTTTACCCATCAGCTGCAAAAGGCTGATGAGCTATTGCTGTGGGCTGGGTGGGCGGTGTGGACACCCGAGTTTGTGAACGTGATAACTCAAGAAGGAAGTCGCCTAATATTTTCAAATATTGATATCATAGGTACATCTACTAAAAATCTCAGACAACTTCAAAGCCTGGCGACTTTGACCTCAAGGTCAGAGGTCAAGTTTTCTGAAAATCTTCTGAATGCAATGACATTAGAACAAGGCGACATAGGATTTTGAAGTTGTTACCACAAGTGTATCTACTACAAGGCTAAGGGACAGCACTGGGAGCCACCAGTATTTTTTATTACTCATTTATTGCTAAGTGTTTATATGATTCCAATATGTTACATGTTACATGGTCTAAATTTTGCTGTTTTTGAACAGGATGTTTACATTATATTCTCAGATATACGTATACTCTCAGAATCCACTAAGCTAAAACCTAACAGGTTAACATGCTCATGCTGAAGCAAGTTGACAGGTTGGCATAGCCTCAGTTTCTTTTTTTTCTGTGTCTTTTGGGAATTGGTCAGACGGCCCGGTGGCGCCAGTGTCCGGCAGCCTCGCCTCTGTCAGTGCGCCCCAGGGCAGCTGTGGCTACAATGTAGCTTGCCATCACCAGTGTGTGATTGTGTGTGTGAATGTGTGGATGACTGAATGTAGTGTAAAGCGCTTTGGGGTCCTTAGGGACTAAGTAAAGCGCTATCCAAATACAGACCATTTACCATTTAATTACAACATTGAAAGTCAATATTTGCTACTTCTCTGGATCCAACTAACCTTACATCATTTGTAGCTTTATTTATAGATTATAAGGGAAATAAACTCTTTAAACCCTAATCATTGCATAAAACCTGTAATATTGCCCGCTAGCTCTGGGAAACATCAGTGGATGATATTCAGGCTAATTTTTCATTGGAAAAATGCACCCAGAGAAATTTTGGACTTTTTAAGATTCTATTCTGTCAGGACAGATTATGCTGTTTTTGTTTTGGCACAGTCTTAGCAAGAGATGGATTAGTTTACTTTCCATATTCCCCTATTACACTGAGACACTAAGCCAGGAAGGCCTGCCTCACTATCTTTAGATTAAACTCCAGATAACAAGGCTCACGGGACTTCTGCTGGCACAATCAATATGGTTTTTATCATTATTATTATTATTACATTTGTGTGTCTGTGTTCTGTGTGCAGCCAGGAAGTCTCTGTCTCCCGTCCTGGACAGCAGCTCTCTGGTTGTGAAGAGGAGGAGTCCAGAGGAGATGGAAAAAGACCTGAGAGGAGCAGAAGCTGCTCTGGAGCTCAGCCTGCATCATAAAGATGGGATGGGAGGAGCAGAGGGTAAATGTATTTTTTTTTGTTGTTGTTGTTTGTTTGTTTTTTATTCTCCTTTTAAACCTGCATAAAATCACAGCCAAGGTGTAACATTGTCCTAAAAAACAGAATTCAAATCTGTGAGAATGACGTGAACAGTAGATGTTGTAAAACCGAAACACTAATCTTTAAAGTGCAATAAAGGCAAATAGCAGAGTCAGGTGATCATTTGTTTGTTACTTCGTCACTTCAGGTGAACATTTACAACTGTTTAGACAAAATATGGATAGAGAAGGGTTGATTTTTTTTTTTTTTTTAGAGAATCAACAGTGATTGTCCTGAAAATTTAGGGGTGCAGAGCTTGACTGCTTGAGTGCACTTTACTCAGTCAAGTATCCACCTGATGGATCCTGAAGTTTCTGCAGTTGATTTTTATATTTACTCTCCCCTGTACTGCTTCCTTAAGACTTAAAATAGCTTGTGATTCTTTAGTTGCTTTTATGTTTTAACATCGACACAAAAACAGTAACACTTTTCTTTTATAAGAATTTAAAAAAAATCTGATTCCTGACTTTTATAGGTGACTTTATTAGATTAGCCTTCAGACGTGCAGTTCATGATCTCCCCTTTATGAGTCATGTAATCATCATAAATTATATATTGTGGTTTAAGAGGTTGAGCTTTTAAAACTTTTCATATCAGTATTATGGTGTGGCCTGCAGTTAGTTCACCTTTAAGACACTCTGAATATCATGGTAACAAAAAATCCCTTAGAGGGTTTTAAATGAGGTTTTTCATTTGGAAAAAAAAATCATCGTAGCTCTCTCCCCAATACAGACGATATGTGATGACCTCCCCTGTACACATAATGATTAGTTTTGACACTTCAGTATATATTAATAAAGACCTAGTTTAATGACCATTAGAATAGTTTATGTTTATTTCCAGGGGTAACTGTATAGGCGGAGACCACCTGCAGTAAACCCAGTCTCTTTGTTCTATAAGCAGACACTGTTTGGTTCAGAAAAGGGAAACAAGGCTTTTCACGAGGTATAGAGTTAAGGCAGCAAATCACAGTGGTTTTTATTATCCACTGAACTTTCTGTAGCACCACCATCTGATCAAAATAAATAGATATCCAAAGACATTATACACTCTCCTAAACCTGCAGTATGAAGGGATTCACTTACCCCAACACTGGCGATCAGGATGAGTGGTTACACAAAGCTTGTTATGAACTTTTTTAGTTATCCCAGGGTTTCCTGATCTGCGTATGAACGTTCATGTAAAAATGGTTGGCGTTGCCAGCATCTGAACAATCACTCTGTTAAGTGTATCAGCAAGTAAAGCCATAATACAGAATAAAAGTAACACAGCTGCTCCAGATGAGTCAGCGATGTGAGATAACCAATCACTCTACATTAATTTAATATATACAGCTCTGAATAAAAGAGCTACTATATTAATGAAATTGAACTTATTTGAAGCTTGGAAAGAAAGTGGGCCAACTGTGTAAATATGTGTAAAGATACGGAAGATTAATTATTTTATTAATTTTTAAGTTGGTTTTGCATGCACACTGGATGTAAGGTCAGCAAATACAAAGAAGTGCTCTGCTTGTAGAACAATAAAAGTTATTCACAGCCAACAGAAAAATAATGAAGCAATAAAATTGTCTCCAAGAATTTATATTTCTTATTGATCATCAGGGAAATGGAAAGAAATTAGATATTACTGTCTGCACACAGTGGTCCGAGGGATTTTCCAGGAATGGTGATGCTGTTTTCCAAGAAATTAATCAGCAGGCGGTGATTTCATATCTGTTGATCTTTAATTATGTTCGCAGTTTAAGTTACCAAGCTGATATACCCTGATAAGAAGTGTGAACCTCCTCCGTGGTACAGAAAACCCAGGATGAACCTGGATGAGACAAAATCCTGCTTCATTGCAGAGGCATTTATAATTTATTCACAGTGGAATTTTCAAACTGAACGTGTCACGATCTTTGACGTTGATTCCCAAGAAACACTTTTCATGCTCCAAAGAAGATAAACTCTTCTGATTTTAATGAATCACGAGCAAGCCATGCCGAAAAAGGTCGAACTTAGAGATTTCTGCACACTCTTCAAGACGAAGCTTATGCTAGTGCTTCTTTTATTCAAGCTGTAAGGAAACTTATTATGGCAGCATCTTCTATTCTATTGAATTCTATTCTATTCTATTCAGTGCTTCCAGATTTGATTTGCAGTTTAATGACTGATGGGTTCTGGGATTTGCCAGCAGGGCTTTTTTTAGAAAAATAATACACAATATTACTTTATGGTCACACCCACTCAGCTCCCTGTTTTTATCTTTTCTTAGCATATTGCCACTTTTCCATCACGTGACTTGGCTTTTGTCTTCACTCCAGGAGTGCTGAAGGCTGACAGCCTCCAGGGGCCCCTGGTGTCTCTCGGCAGCACCGCATCAGACCAGCCCTCCACCTCTAAGCAGCAATATACGATGGAGCAACAGCTATACGGGGCCTCGGGGTCCAGGGAAGACATCTTCACCTTGGCAGCATCGAGCTACATGGCTTCAAGCAAGAACTGTGGCAGCAGGAGCCTGGGGTACGACCCAGAGACTCCTCACACACAAGAAAAATTATATCTGCAAGAGACATCCGTGTAATGGAACATCAGGGTCCCATATGTCTTTCGTTTCTTCCCGCTGCAGGGCAGCTGCGTTGGACTGTGAATCGGAGAGCTCAGGAAACTCCCATCAGTCCTTGCCGGAGGGGCCGTCTGCACAGCTGCTGTCATGTGAAGGTTGGTTCACCTTCTAACTGTGAGCCTCAGGAGTGATTGTGTTTGATGATTTGTCAAAAGAGAGATTGGCTCTCTGTATACCAGGCAGGGTTTTGTGCGTCATGCTACAAGGCCGTGTCCCCGTCAGACAGTCTAATTTAGTCTTGGTACAAGTTTGCAAAATTGAAGCTTGATGATACTTTCTTTAATTAAAAAAGAACATCTGGCACTCAGCATACTTTAAAAAAGGAATCATTCCCCTATTCTGACTGATGGTCTGTGAAATCCATCAATTCAATAAGAATTCTCCATCCATCCATCTTCATCCGCTTTATCCGGGGCCGGGTCGCGGGGGCAGCAGCCTAAGCAGAGAAGCCCAGACCTCCCTCTCCCCAGCCACCTCCTCCAGCTTATCCAGGCCAGCCGAGAGATCTAATCTCTCCAGCGTGTCCTGGGTCTGCCCCGGGACCTCCTCCCGGTGGGACATGCCCGGAACACCAACCCCAGGAGGCGCCCAGGAGGCATCCTTGTCAGATGCCCGAACCACCTCAGCTGGCTCCTTTCGATGTGGAGGAGCAGCCGCTCTACTTTGAGCCCCTCCCGGATGGCCGAACTTCTCACCCTATCTCTAAGGGAGAGGCCAGCCACCCTTCGGAGGAAGCTCATTTCCGCCGCTTGTATCCGCGATCTCGTTCTTTTGAACTCCTCCACTTGGGGCAGGAACTCATCCCCGACCCGGAGTGGGCACTCCACCCTTTTCGGGCTGAGAACCATGGCCTCAGATTTGGAGGTACTGATCCTCATTCCCGCTGCTTCACACTCGGCTGCGAACCGTTCCAGTGCTAGCTGGAGGCCATCACCCGATGAAGCCAACAGAACCACATCATCCGCGAAAAGCAGAGATGAGATTCTGAGGCCACCGAAGTGAAAGCCCTCCGCTACTTGGCTGCGCCTAGAAATCCTGTCCATAAAAATTATGAATAGAATCGGTGACAAAGGGCAGCCCTGGCGGAGCCCATCACCCACCGGGAACGAGTCCGACTAATTGCCGGCAATGCGAACCAAGCTCTTGCAACGGTTGTATAGGGATCGAATGGCCCGTAGCAATGGGCCAGACACCCCATACTCCCGCAATAAGAGTTCTGTAACACTGAACTATGAGCGTGCCTGAGAAGTTGGAACTTAAAGAGTTCTGCACACGTGTAACAGTCTCGTTCTTTCTCGTCTCGTCTGCAGATCAGCCGGCATCTGTCCTGGTGACAGCTACAAGCAGCGACAGCGACACTGAGGACGAGGCCCTGCAGAGCAACAACTCTCGCTACGACAACCACACTCCACCCTGCACAGGTAACCAGCACACACATCATGAAATGAGGCGGAGCCAAGGTGCATGATGTAGATACTAAAATCACTGTTCAGATTCTGCAGAATCTGTTAATGTTTCCCTTTTTTTTCTTTGGTGGTTCTCATCTCTACACACTCCTCCCTCTCTTTCTGCTCTAGCGCTTTTTTGGTATGTGCGTGTATAGTATACATGTACAGTCATGTACAGAGTTTGCGGCTTCAGTCGTTCGCTGATTTTTCCTTAGACTCTAAATAATAATCGTTCATGTACACCCCTGCACATCCTTTATTATTTATTTTTTTAAGGAGAAGGCAGATTGTTATTCATTTCTCCTTACTGCGTCTCTGGCAGATGGAGTCAGGCATTCCTGCATCATCAATTTACCACCTGTAGCCATCTCGAGTGTTTTGCTCAGTTTTCTTGTGTTTTTCATTTTGTTCTTCTTAAAGCTCTATGATGCTGCCCAAATGCATATTTAGAGTTTAAACTATTTTAAAGAAGGCATTTATGGGCATTTTCTTTGACCACATCCAAAATCCACAGTTTTCACAGTTCGCGGGTGCTCTTGGAACGTAATCCCCGCAGATTTTGGGGGACGACTATATTTGATGAGTATTAGTACCACTTCTTTTTATTACTTTTTTTAAAAAAAAAAAACATGAGAGCAACTGGATGAGGTGAGTGGGATCCCACAGGGGTGGTGTGTGAGACAACAGGCTGTTATCAAGCAAAAAGGATGCACATCATCAGAGAGACTAATGATTGTGACCCTGGCAGTTTTTGTTTTGTTTTTTCCCCTCATCTGTATATTTGTGGATTACTGCTAGCTAAAATTATTTAATAGTCAGATGTTTGGGAATTTCCTGGTACTTTTTGGCTACATTCACACTGCAAGTCTTAATGCTCAATTCCGATTTTTTGATCAAATCCGATTTTTTTTGTCTGC